CGGTGGGGGTTCCCCGTGGGACACAAACCTGCCAGCCGTGAGTTCAGCGCTACAAAATTGCCGTGGAGATGGAGTGGCCGAAGCGTGTTTTCCCATGTTGCGTGATGGAAATGACTTCGTTGATCTTGCTGTTTACTTGCAGCTCCTATGCTAGCCTCAGACAAGGAGATTTGGGTACTTGCATTTGGAGGAGGGGACTGGGGAGAGAGGGAAATAGCTTCTGATTTCACCAAAGATTCCCAAACTCATCTTCTGTGTCTCTTGGCTGTATGCTGGTATCTCAAGTGCATCATGAGCACCCTTGTTTTGTTGCTTTCAAAGGTTCTTCAGAAGCAGAGGAGTTTCAGGCTCCTGCTGTTTGTCTTTTGTATTTCACCAGTGTCGCAGTAACAGTACACATAAATGAAGTTTCTGATGTCAAGACTTCCAGCAGCCTGTTTTCTCAACGTGCTCTCTACCAGTCGGCACCTGAAGCTGGAACAGCAGCTTGGCTGTAATGTGTAGAAGTCTTATTCTTCTGTAGTGGTTGGTAGAGTGTGTGTTTTGGCTCCCTCAGCGGTACTTCAGGACAGGGCGTGAAATAACTATTGCCATGGAGAGAAATCAGTTGCACATCAAATCTGGAAGCGTCAAGTGAGGAGCAGTGGTAGAGAGGTGACCTTTCAGTTGGTTGTGGCCTTTGCAAACCTCCACTCACAAGAGCCGTGTTTGGGAACAGCTGCAGCAGCGCGGTGACGGCTGATAGGGCACTGAATCCTGAGCTGAGTGCTGGGTTTCTTTGTCTGGGTTTTGTGTAGTTGCACATTGCAGGGTTTAAACTTTGATAATTGATGTAAATGGTGCGTAGATTTTCTGAGCAATGACTTGTCACATACTGACCTAAGTATGTATGTACTTAGAGCCAACTAATGTTTACTGATGCTCTTCTGAGATACTTTTTTGCTATTAGAGAGCACAAGGGATTTTTTTTTTCTGTTTTATTTTTAGTAAAGGTGGTTGATACAAGGTGTCAATGGCAACAGATGGATAATACAATTTCCAGTCTTCTTAACAGTTCTTAGCATACATGGGTCTTGCAAAACCAACTAGTTGAAAGCTGTGGAAGAAGTTTGAAAACTGTGGTACTAAAGCATACAGGGGGAAATAAATCCCAAAGCTAAAAGTTTTAAATTAATACTGGCCTGGGTTTAATACCTTTTATAGGATTGTTTTAAAAGTCCCTGGAGAGTTTGTTCTGCTGTTACTGCAGGACAGTTCTCTCAGCTACAGTAGTGGAAAGAAAAGTTAGATGATCCACCAAATGCTACTGTAGTAGGATGGTATCCAAATTTGACTATACTGTATGGGGAAAATAATATGAGAAGGTCAAACACTGCATTAGGATGTGTGTTCTCTGGTAAAATGAAATTGGCTTTCAATACAGTTAAGGCTTTGAAGGACTTTTTGTGGTTTTCGAATGGAGATATTCCTGCTTTTGAGGTTTTATTTTGCCAAATTATCTCGTCTTGATAGATGGACAGGGACTGAATGCTGCTCTCTACTTACTTTAGATGTCAGCTGCATTGGCAGTGTTGCTGATGTGGCTGTGGTCAGCTGGCAGTGAAACCTGACTCTCCCTCCCAAGGCTGAAAACACTGATGGGCATTTTGTTTCTCTGCTCCCGGTGTTCTCCCTTGTGTTTGCAGGCCAGGCTTTCCTCTCAGCACCAGAAAAGGTCGCTGTAAGAGCCCGTGGAACACCGTTTGTCCTTCATTATCACATTGGTTCTGCACAGGTTGTGTCTAGGGAGAGAAGGCAGGCAGAATGAATGAAAGGGATGCCTGTGCTACCCTTCAGGTGGTGCTGCAGAAGACATAAGCATTCTTAGTTTTAGTATCTTCTAATATGCTTGATCATAACCAATAGTGACTGAGACATTTGCAGCAGGACAGATCCACGGTTAATTCTTGATGTACCATTTGATTTCTTGCTTAGCAGTGGTGTTGGTTACTCGGAGGCTGCACTCTGTTTTTACCTCCATGTGCACTATGTTGCATTTTGATCTTCACGTGGCTGATAATGCTTTTTTTGTTTGTTTGCTTCTGCCTGGCTGTGTTTTATGTACCTATGTCCAAGCTTGCTGAAAGCCAGCGCAAATCACCAAGATCCCAGCTATAACTTAAAGTAGCAGGGATTATTTTTTTATGTTGATGATTATGTTTTTATAAGGTCATTCATGGCATTGTATTCATGAAGCTGTGAAAGCTGGAATCAAAGGTGATTTAGTTAATACCTATTAATCATGGAGAGGCTGGAGGCAAGGCACTTCAGCTTTCTAAGCCCAGGTGTTTTCTCAACTTCCTCCTGTTGGGCAGAATTAAGAAACATGGCATAGGGTGTAGCGGATATCTGCAGTTGGAAAGTTTTGGGGTTTTTGTTTGGGGTTTTTTTTGGTTTTTTTTGGTGGGTTTTTTAATTCCTTTCTGCATCATTGTTCCAAGCAGGTAATACTTGTTCATGCACTCTGAGTGTGGAATGCAGACACTACAGAAAACAAAAAAAAAAACCCCAAACATTGCAAAAGTATTGCATGTTGGAGCACCTCTCCTGTGAAGACAGGCTGAGAGAGTTGGGTTTTGTTCAGCGTAGAGAAGAGAAGGCTCTGGGGAGACCTAATAGCAACCTTCCAGTACGTAGAGAGGGGCCACAAGAAATCTCGAGAAATACTTTTTACAAGGGCAGGTGGTAACAGGACAAATGAAAGAGGGTAGATTTAGGTTATATATTAGGAAAAAAAATGTTCTTTGTGAGGATGGTGACGCTGGAGCAGGTTGCCCAGAGAAGCTGCGTGTGCCCCATTGCTGCGAATGTTCAAGGCCAGGTTGAATGCGGCTTTGAGCAGCCTGGTCTACTGGAAGGTGTCCCTGCCTGTGGTAGAGGGCTTGAAACTTGATGATCTTTAAGGTCCCTTCCAACCCAAACCATTCTTTGATTCTGTGATTATTTTGGTACTGTAGCCAAGCAGACCACCGAATGGCTTGAGAGAGTGTTTCATTATTTATTTGTATGTTCCCAGCAGAAAGAGCTCACATCAAAGAAAAGAGATGAGTTTGAAGATATCTTGGAGGAAAGGCGATTGTCCAGTGACTTGAGATACGCAATGAAATGTTACACTCCTGTGATCTACAAGGGGCTTTCACCTTGCAAGCCAAACGCTATTAAAAGTGCTGTTCTCCAGTCAGAGCAAGTTCAATATGTTATCAAGCAGGTGAGTCTGGACACTGAGCTGCAAGATGTGGTAGATTGAACACAGCCAAGTTTTGTGTGCCAGCAGGGAAAAAGATTATTGCTGACCTTGTCAAGCACGATAGCTGTACTTTGAAAGATGGTCCAATAAATCATTAACTTGAGAGCTGTACTCTTTTGGCAGGAAAAACAAATGCTCGTTTACCACGGAGTTGCCACTTAAGCTGTTAGATAGCTGATTCATGAAATAGTGTTTTGATTTTGCATATACAACACTTCACCATCTAATTTATCCAGTGTGCTTGACTTTGGTATTTTTCCTTCTCCGCTGTCTTTGCCACAGATCAGCATTATGAAAGAGATAAGCGCTCTCCTTCTTAGTAGATGCTTTTGTACTTTGAGGATGTTTTGTAGGAATTTTATAGGCTAATGATGCATTTATGAATCAGTCATAAATGCACCTTCCCCAAAAATTAGAGTTAAATTTCATAGAGAATTCTTTGAGTTAGAAACAGCATCTAAGGTGTAACCATATTTTTGTTTTAAGATGAAGGGCAGCTACTATGTTGTAATTAATAAAATCTTTTATAGTCAAACAGGCTTATATTTTACATTGTGTTGAAATGGCTGAAATAACAGTGTGTGTTAGTTAGCAGTAATTATTTTCAGTATTCATGAAAAATAATGCCAGGCCAGTAGAGGTACGTAACATATTCTGGTTAGTCCTGAGTGAGTGGCTACCATAAAATTTTTCTTTTTTCTTTTTCTTTTAATGGTCAGTGTCATTTATGATATATCAAAACCTGTTACAATGTGACAAACTAAACCATGTTCTACAAAGTAGTCCTGTTGCCATCATGGATTGCTAAGCAGTATGAGATCAAAAAACCCCAGTCTTTCAACTTTAGAAACACTAAAACATTTACCAAAAGAAAATATTTTACAGAGGATTTGACAGAAAGACGTTTGTGTGACTTTTTTCTTCTCAAGTTCTGCTTTTTTGATGAAAAATGATTTTGACGGATATTTTCCTGGCTAGCATCAAGTGGTTAAAGGGAGTTTAGCAGACCTGCCTTTTCAACCTAGTTACCAGCTTTGCACTAGGGATTACTTGGAAGTACCTAACTGAGACTATCTTGGGCAATATGCCCACCACTGCAATTAGTGTGCCTCCTGCCTGGGCAAGGTTTACACAGGTTTAGACAGGCGTACTAGAATTTGTTCTTGTGACAAATTGCTGGGGTTGCTTATGTTGACCACAAAGAGTTGTGGTCAACGGTTCAATGGGGTTGCTTATGTTGACCACAGAGAGTTGTGGTCAACGGTTCAATGCCCACGTGGAGACCAGTAACGAGTGGTGTCCCTCAGAGGTCGGTGTTGGGACCTGTGTTGTTCAACATCTTTGTGGGCAATGGAATTGAGTGCACCCTCAGCAAGTTTGCCGACAACACGAAGCTGTGTGGCTCGGTTGATACGCTGGAGGGAAGGGATGCCATCCAGAGGGACCTGGACACGCTTGTGAGGTGGGCTGGTGCCAACCTCATGAAGTTTAACCAAGACAAGTGCAAGGTCCTACACCTGGGTCAGCACAACCCCAGGCACAGCTACAGGCTGGGCGGAGAAGAGATTCAAAGCAGCCGTGCGGAGAAGGACTTGGGGGTGGTGATTGATGAGAAACTCGACATGAGCAGGCAGTGTGCGCTTGCAGCCCAGAAAGCCAACCGCATCCTGAGCTGTATCAAAAGAAGCATGACCCGCAGGTCAAAGGAGGTGATCCTGCCCCTCTACGCTGCTCTTGTGAGACCTCACTTGAAGTATTCAGTACAGTTCTGGTGTCCTCAACATAAAAAGGACATGGAGCTGCTGGAGCAAGTCCAGAGAAGGGCCACGAGGATGATAAGAGGACTGGAGCACCTCCTGTATGAAGACAGGCCGAGAAAGTGGGGCTGTTCAGCCTGGAGAAGAGAAGCTGCGTGGAGACCTCATAGCAGCCTTCCAATATCTGAAACGGGCCTACAAGGATGCTGGGGAGGGACTCTTCATTAGGGACTGTAGAGGTAGGACAAGGGGTAATGGGTTTAAACTTAAACAGGGGAAGTTTAGGTTAGATCTAAGGAAGAAGTTCTTCACAGTGAGGGTGGTGAGGCACTGGAATGGGTTGCCCAAGGAAGTTGTGAATGCTCCAACCCTGGAGGTGTTCAAGACCAGGCTGGACAGAGCCTTGGGCGACATAGTTTAGTGTGTGGTGTCCCTGCTCATGGCAGGGAGGTTGGAACTAGATGATCTTAAGGTCCTTTCCAACCCTAACTATTCTATGATACTATGTGTATGTGAAATTATGTAAATTTGGTCTAGTTTTCTGTATGTGACTGGCCTGGTTTTTTTTTTTTGATTTCTGATTTGGGGGAGTAAATGCTTAGCTCTTAGTGGATGTGCACTTAATTCATGCAAGATCAACTGCGTGGTAAGCCTTTTACTGTGTGGTAATCCTCTTACTGGTGAATGAGAACTCTTTCCTTACTGAACAACAAGAATAAGGTTCTTTTGCTTCCTAAGAGAGAGTGATTATTTTAACCACTTGAAGAAGCAAAAAAAATGTGTCCACTTGAGCCTTAGAAAATGAATTATAGCTATGCAGGGTGAAGGATAACACATTTGTTAAAACACAATTAAACCACTAGATATGATACTGGGGTAGCATACAAAGGTAGAGTGGAGGAGTTGGATTTTCTCCTATGTCACAAAATAGAAATAATAGCTAAGCGGTGCTGGCCTCTAAATAGAGCTGTGATTTTGGAACGTTTTTTCCTTCTGCCATTCCTCCACTTTCCTCCTCCGTGTTCAGTAAAAGGCATGTTCCTCATTCCATAACAGTAAAAGACTAACTTTTCCATTAAGTATTTCTAGATTCAAAGTATTGAATAGGAGGGGCAACCATTATTTAAGTTTGTTTTTTAGAAACTCCAAAAGGGAATGTGCATAGCAACAGAAAAAACATCATTGACATGCAAAGTTGGTAGAGACAGTGTTTGTGTGCTTCAGCTAGCCATTGCCAAAGTAATACATTACGAAGAAATTGAAGCATGATAGGGCTGAGGTTTTTCAGCCAAGTCTTAAAATCTAACGCACTTAAACCCAAGGGCACTTCAGAGATTTATGTTATGAATACCTCTGCAAACATAGCTTTCATTATACAAATCAAAGAAAGTGGCACACAGCCTTCTTCAGACAGGAAATGTTCTTCAAACTTAAATCTCCTCTGAAGATGCTATAGGTTAAAACATCCAGGTGGTGTGTTTCAGGGAGGGAAATTGTTGCACACGCACACACACCCCCTGCCCCACCATTGACATCTAAGCTCATTCTTGATTTTAAATAGCTCTAACTTGGTGCTTTGTTGTTGACTGACACCGAACAGGTTCTGTATGATGTATTGTCCATGCCTATCATATAAAATAGAATCTTGCTGACTGTTGCAGAAGTTCTGTAACTGTTGTGGCACACAGAATGGTGTGCATGGACAATTAAAAGGGAGCAACATCTCACTGCTATTTTGTTTGTTTTGTTTCTCTTTAGTTAGCAAAAGAAATGGGAGAATCACCTGATATTATTCAAGAAGAAGCCATGGAAATCCTGGATGAGATGGGCCACAACATGCAATTAGGAGCTGTCAGATTTTTTGCCTTTACTCTGAGCAAAATATTTAAACAGCTTTTCCAGAGAGTTTGTGTGAATGAAGAAGGAATGCAGAGAGTGAGTACTTACAGAGGGGGGAGAGGAAATAAAACTGTAGTTCTAATATTTTCATACCAGTCACTTGGACAAAGACTTTAATTTTTGTTCCAAGTAACAAATACGAAAAGCATCATTTGGAAAAAAAGACTGCACTTGTGTTTATTACTGCATTTCTTAGTAAGTGTGGGGGTAAAGACACATGATATATGAGTATTTTAAAGGCAAACAGCAAGACGTTTTGTATGTTTTCCAAATGCTTCTTATGGTAAGAAATGCCGTGTGTCAGTGATTCTCTTAGACACTGAGAAAGTTTTTCTATCTGATATTATAAATTTAATAATGTATTTAGCTGAATTGGGAGTGAAAACCTCATGTTATGTGGCTGAGTGGGTTGGCTGTTCTGCAAAACCTTCATACAGCTAAGAGTGGTGAAACATTGTGCGCCTCTGAGGCAGGAGGTGCTTTTAAGTTTTCATCAGTTTCCTGGGGAGCTGTTGTCATTGCAGAATGCTGCTGTTCTGGAAGGTACAGTGCATTCCCTGGAAGACGTCAATGACAGCCTTGACAGCCCCTATTTGGTTTCCCATTCCCATCAGAAGGGGTTTGAATTAGACTATCACATAATGAGGTGGCTCTGGCATTTGAGTCCTTTGATGCTTGTGAACCACAGGTTGCTAGTCTGGAAACTACTGCTCCAGACTTCCTATGGTTCCATGCTGAAAAAGGTAGAGAGGATGTGGGCAGAGAAACTACCCTCAAGCATGTCAGCTTCTGTTTGTCTTAAGCCCTGTGAAGTTCTGTATTTGCAAATTTCAACAGTCAGTAAATATTGAAACAGTATTGTTTGTGCTGTTTTTTTTTGGTTGTGGTTTTAGTTGCAACATGCCATTCAGGAGCATCCAGTTGTACTGCTGCCCAGTCACCGAAGCTACGTAGACTTTTTGATGCTGTCTTATTTGCTATATACGTATGACTTGGCTTTGCCTGTCATTGCTGCAGGAATAGGCAAGTATGTTCTTTTAATAATGTTTTCAGGATTCAGAGAATTGGTAGCAAGGGGCCTGGTAGCTGCTATTCTAAGATTTGCATTTAACTTCTGTTCCAAATATGTCTTCTTAAAATCTCCTTGGGTAAGACGTTTACAGTGTCTGAAAGCTTCTCATTGGTGCTGAGTCCAACCAAAGGTGAATCTGCCCAGAAGTACCCTATCTGTAGATCCAAGGCTGGGACAAAGATAGGTGTTGTGAAGAATATCTGCATTGCTTTTTTGGCCTGGGAGCAGGCAAAAACTTGCCTAAGAGCTATTATGTATGCAGAATCTTTCATGATACCTTATACAGTTTTAAGTGCAATTACAGTAGCCAGATATGAAATGCCAGCACCTTGTGCTTGTTGCTGATGCTACTGATTCCCTTGAAGCATTGGCAGAACTCTGTTATGTGAAGTGCTGACAGCAGAGCTGGCTGGGAAATGAAGTTTCACATCAGAGGTCACAGTTTTGGACATACTTAATTCTAAAGCAGATGAAGCCAGAATATTTGCAGGAAACAACTTGTGAAGACTTTAACAGTAAATATCTTCCAAGTTAATGTACTTTTTGAAAATACATACTCTGGTAGCACTTAGCTGAGAAACCTGATCTTGGAAGTCTTGGGTACCAAACCAGGTCTTCTAAGCAGGCAGACAACAAGCTTAAATCTGGTGCAGCACTGTAATGGGTACAGGCATGCTAGCAAAGATCTGGGAACCCACTACTCTACTACTCTGTCTTTTTATTGAAAAGCCTGCTTTTCCTATCAAGAGGTTAGGAAGACCAGTAGAAAATTAGTGGAAGCTCGGAGAATGTGTTTCTAGGGGAGACAAGATTCTGCTGGTTTTTGAGTTAGTGGTGTCTTTCCTCTGGGTGATGAAGGTTAGATTCTGGTGAATTCAGAAGTTGATGTATTATAGCTGCCTCGATTAATGTGTTGTAGCTGCTTACCTGTCACGTATTGTTCAGAATTTGCTCACGTGCTGTCATAGGTTTTGGTGTAATCTTTTGCTGAATTTTGGATTAGAGTCTTTTTGAGGTTTGGGCCTCAAAACAGTCTCTTAAGATACAGTTTAGTTTAGCTTAGAGGGAATTTTTTAGTGACTAAAATTTTTTAAGTGTTTTGGGGTCAAAGCTCTTCAGAATTATGGGCTTTCAGCTTGATTATACTGCTGCATGTGTGTATTATTTTACATTCATCTGGAGAAAACATGGTTCTCTATGGTTATAGTTGTATTTGCTGCATATCGTGTTACAGGTTCATAAGATGCATTTTACAAACTCGCTCTCAAAGTGGTGCTTGTGCTGAGTGGTAGGTACCTCTGCTTTGTTAGTTACCACTTGGCTTCAAGTAGCATAATGATAGATCTGTGGGGATTAGCTAAGGGAAGGTAACTTGTTGCCAGTTACACCAAAGTACATGCTCATACAGTACATTACCAGGAATCTAGCTGATGCTGGGGTTGTGTTTCTGTCTCAGGTCTTGGAAGCAAGTCAGATCAGAGGCAGAGAGGTGGTGTGGGCTTGAGGTCTGTGGCAGGATGTGTTTCAGTTCCTGTTTGTGGGGTGGCAGTGTGTGGTGGGAGGAAGCATTGGACACGCAGCCACCATCCTGACTGGGAGGCTGAGTATGCAGCAGGATGGTGTAAGTAGGAGAGGGGATAGAGTCTATGTTGCGGTGAGAGAGGGAGGGTAGTAGGAGAGTAAGGGAAAAAGGTGGACCTCTGCACATGGGAAGCTCTGACAGTTGCTATTGCTGCCCAGGGTGCTGTAACCAACTTTTTTTTTAATCCTTTTTTTCCACATACACACACACATGTCAGATATATACATGTGTATGACATCTAACATCTTCAAGGCAGTCATTGTCAGCTTTGCAGCGGGAAATATGAATTTATTTTACTCAGTGATTATCTGTTCTCAAATGTTTCCTGGGTTGAAGTGGCAAGTGGCAAGGAGGTTGAAGTGGTGCATGGCCAGCTGCTGTGCAGACTTGTTTTAAATGCTTCCCTAAGAGTTTTGTTAAGGTTAAGTGTTTTCTTGGTTTTGACAAGTTAAGCATTGACTGTTGTTGCTTAAAACTAGAAAACAATAAAAGATTTTAGCTGTGGTTTGGTGTACACTTCCCAAAGTGATGAATCAGCATCATAAATGGTATCATACAGCGTAATTGGTAAGTTATTTTCTGTGTCTTGTAGGATACATTCTATGGTAACTGATTTTTCTGAACATGAGTGAGGCAACGTACTTCAGAAACTTAGTCTTTGTTACGGTTGATATCTGGCCATCTAGATTATGAAAATAAATTGCTTTAAGTGAATGTGCTTACAAAAAAAATCTAAAGCATGTTGTGCCTTTCATGTCTACATAGGTCTTGGTAGACAATATAAAAGCAAAGAAAGGTATTTGCAACAACAGAATCCTTGAAAGAGATATTTATTCTGGTAGTTGAATCAGTGTGTTAGAGAAAGTGGTTGATTCTGCTGGCTGATATTAATCAGTAAGTTGTGTGTGTGTGATTTGGTTTTTGTTTGATTGTTTTTCAGATTTCCTAGGAATGAAAATAGTTGGTGAGCTGCTACGAAGGGCAGGTGCCTTTTTTATGCGACGTTCCTTCGGTGGGAACAAGCTCTACTGGGCAGTGTTTGCTGAATACGTTAAAATGATGTTAAGGGTAAATAAATTACTGAACTCTCAAAATGTATCATTAAGAATACTCTGTTGGAATGATTCATGTGAAATCTGCACAATGGTATGGCTATGTGATTGAAAGTCTTCACTGTGATCTGATCAAATGTATTTTAGCTCAGGATTGTTGAGGATAAAGAGCATGCATTCTCTCTATTGGTATTATGGTTCATCAGTAGGTAGTAAACAAATAGCTGCTCATCAGTTGCTTTGGATCATGTGCCTATATCTCATGACAGACACAACATTTTCATAAATTTAATTATATGTGGCAAATACGATGACTGAATATAGGCTTTGAGATGGCTGAAGTTAGACAGGCATGGCTTCCATTAAAAAAACTTACTTAAGTTTTAAGTACTTAAAACTATTTGAGGGAAGTAAAGAAGACATGGGGTATTTTTCTGACCACTTGTTTTGTTTTATTTTTGAAGAATGGCTATGCCCCAGTTGAATTTTTCCTTGAAGGGACTAGAAGCCGTACCGCCAAGACTTTGACTCCAAAGTTTGGTAGGTTTGTTGAAAACTCAGAGCTTTTTATGATTATTAGTATTTTATTAGTGGCTATGTACTTCATAAGCCCTTCAGACAGGAAGGGATGTTAAAGTAGTGGGAAATTGGTGAGGTCTATGACGGTAGTGGAAAACACTGTGGTTGGAGTTCCAAGGCCATACAAAGACTGGTAATACAATTCTATTGCATTCTACTGCTTTCTCGCCCTCTGTTCCGTTGTGTACTTAACTGCGTGACTGTTCACCCTTTTCTTTCTAGAAAATAGGTGTCCCCTGACCAGCAGAGAAATGTTATAAGCTAACTGTAAAAGCAGTGGGGAATCGTTAGAAAGAAGATGCTGAGAGAGTGCAGAGTAGTGTTGCTGACAAGAGCACAAATGGCTGTCCAGATATATTGCTTACATTTACCTCCTGGTTTAAAGTGTGGGCAATGTCTCGTGTTTCTGCTTGCTTGAAGAAAGAACAGTCACAGTGCACACCCATTAGCAGTTTCTAAAATTTGCAGTTATCTTTTCCAAATTTGAATTGCAGTTGCTTTTCTCTTCTTGAACAAGACAAGTGAGTCACTTTTTTTCAATTTGCAGGTCTTCTCAGCATTGTGATGGAACCATTTTTTAAACGTGAAGTCTTTGACACGTACCTTGTTCCCATCAGCATCAGCTACGAGAGGATATTAGAGGAATCCCTCTATGCATATGAACTCCTAGGAGTCCCAAAGCCCAAAGAATCTACATCTGTATGTAAATTCCTTAAGAATGGAACATAGGTGAATATATATGCACCCTGTAGCACCAAAATTTGAATTTTGCTTTTCCCGTTTTCATAGGGGTTGTTAAAAGCCAGAAGAATCCTCAGTGACAATTTTGGTACCATACATATCTATGTTGGCCAGCCGGTATCACTTAGAACCTTGGCATCTGGGAGAATCAGTCGGTGCCCATACAATTTGGTTCCCAGGTACCACATTTTTCCATAGTGTATGCACATGAAAAGCATTTGTTTAGTCCTCACCTGTGTAAAATAATTAAGGTGTTTGCTTGTGCTTTGTTTTCAGCTTCTCTCACCTCCCCTCCATCTGACTATTTAGACCACTGAACCTATTTTGTCTGAGCAGAGGTTTATCATGATTGTGATTGAGTGTTTCTGAAACAGGTTGTTACTTGCATAGCTTTGTACTTCGTTGAGGAGATGCCATTTTTAAATTTAATGATGGTGCATGAGCCAGGCAAAGCTGTTTTCTGAGACAGTGGTTTTACTACTTAAAAATTCCCTCTTTCTCCCTTCTTGCTTTATTTCTGCAAACTGTTAGGTGATCATGTGCCAGGGAGCTGTAGCTATGACTGGATTGGGTGCTTTTTGTTATTTGATACATAAAACATCACGCTTTTGAATTTTATTTGAAGATAGCAAGTGTACAACATCAATAGAGAGATTTCAAATACTGTCTCAAAGCTACTGATGTTTTGCTCTGTGCTTCTTAATAGTACAGATGTTGGGTGCTGCGAAGTAGTTGCAGATATGGGAGCAATACAAAAGAAAGAAGGAAGGATGTGATTTATGTTCCATTTTTTGGAGCTCTTTTCCTTGAACTGCATTGTTCTTTTCAGGCATCTTCCCCAAAAGCCATCTGAGGATATCCAAGAATTTGTCAGTGACGTAGCTTATAAAATGGAGCTCCTGCAAATAGAAAACATGGTTTTGAGCCCGTGGGTGTTAGTTGCTGCTGTCCTGCTCCAGAATTTGCCAGCCATGGATTTTGAGCTTCTAATAGAAAAGACCCTGTGGCTTAAAGGCTTAACACAGACTTTTGGAGGATTCATTGAATGGCCTGGTATGCAAAGAATGTGTTATTTGTATTGCTTTTGTTGCTTATGAAGGATAAATTGAATTTCTGTGGAGGCAGTGTATGGTGACAACTTTACAGAACGTTTTCTTGGAATTGTAAATGGATTTTATGAAATGCTAAATATGATGCTAAAACCTGGCAAGTTTGACTTAGTTTGTAGAAGATAATACTTAAAAACCAGCCAAGTGGAAGCAGAACAGATGTTTTATTGTTATATCCCAAAGTGTGGAATGAGGAAGAAATGACAAGGTACCTGTATTCGAGTACTTGAATTTGCCTAGTGTCTATCTTTTTGAAGCTTCTGTCAGTCACAGGCGATTCCATGATCTGCAGCAGTTAACTTAGTGGAATGCTATGTTTATTGCTTGATACTGACTGTGATAAAAGTTGTTACTGTGGCAAAGAACTAGCAGAAACAAATGGGTGAGAGAAAATCAAAACTGTAAGTTGTCTATTTTTAAATTTTACTTTATCCCCAGGAACAGTGGTGACTTTGGGAAGGAGGCTTCTTTGGTGGTTTTATTGATATATTTATACACACATACACTCTTTTTTTTTTTTTTTATGTATACAATGTATACATTTATATTGGCTGCTGAAAGGTTGAGTCTCCTTCCAAACTTCTTAACAGTTGTTTTAAACTTCTCTCTGTGAGACAAGGTGACACAGGTAGTTGATTTTCGAGCCTCATGACATAAGTGGTAAAGATAGCGAAGAAAAAACAGTGTAGTGTGAGTACATTTATCTTATCAGCACAGGTAGACTTAATCCATGGATCTTTGCTTCTGTAGTCATGTGTATAATCAAGGATCTCTCTCAGTACTGCAATAAATAAATAGGGGCAGGCTACAGTTACAACAAAATTCTGTTGTTTCTGGAAGAAAACCACTCCTCCTTTCGGGGATCTGCACTCCAGTGAATGCAGGCAAGGTCTGCTTCTGCCAGACTGGTAAAAGGAGGAATTTCATGGCCATATTTAAACATCATTTTGAATCTTATTGCACGGTAAACTGAAAAGATACCACATTTGGCTTTGCTTATATATTTTGCTTATTTTCTTAGCAACAATGAATAAGTTTTTGCCTTAGTAGAGTTGTGCTGTAGTCATGGAATAGCAAATAAGCATGGTAACAAAATAGAAGAATGACAACTACTGAGCAGATCTTGTTGGAGTGTGGTGGCCCCACTCTAGGCATCAGTTGCATAGAAACAGGGTTTGTTGTTTTGTTTTGTATTGACAATAACTTGAAAGAATAAATACATTTTAAAGGCTAATTTGGCGACGTCACCAAGTCAGCAACTACATGTACCCTGTCCATTCTTGTCTCCAAACAGCTCGTTGTTTCTGCCTTTGTCATGCTGGTTGGTGTTTATAGCCAGAATATTTGCTTGGCTGTTAGAAATTTTATATTAAAAACAGGAACTGCAAAATCACTTGCTCAAACTTCTGCTTCTTATCGCATTGAGAAACTTGGGAGCTTTAGCAAAACTGGAACAAAGTAGGCTGAAGGAGCAAATAAGATGCAAGAAGATTCTATGTGAAATCTGTGTTAGCAAGTGGAAGAATTTAAAGTGATTTCATTACAGAAATGTCTGAAATTTGTTCTCTCCACCTCATGCTACACCTAGGCTGCCAATTCCTGGTATGGGTTATTTTAAAACATCTCTCTAACTGAACATGTTTGGTGTAATAATTAGTCTTCGGTGATGAAACTTAATGAAATACTGGTGCATTTTAGATTGTTTCAATAGAGTTACATTCCCTTTTGCATCTTCCCAAGTGTTGCGTTTTCCTGCTAGATAACCTGTGTGCCAAAAAAGCAGTTATGTCTGGCCTCACCCTGCATTCCAACATTGCTCGCCTTGTCGACGGCCATGTGGTCCTAAATGACAAAGGAGTGGAAGATGGAGCCGTAGGGGAAATCGTCTTCAAGCATGCCATGGCCATCCTCATGTGTGCCACCTACAGAAACCAGCTGCTGAATGTGTTTGTGCGTCCATCTCTGGTGGCAATTGCCTTGCAGATGACACGCAGCTTCAGAAAAGGTACGTTTGGGTAGGTAGCTGTGAGAGCGTGTGGGCTGTGCTCCGTGCACTGCCAGCTGTGAGAGGAGCATGAGGCTCCTGCAGCTTCTAGTGGGAGCTACCTAAGACCCTGGATAAGGTCCTGTGGCACAGGGTGGATATGTTGGGAAGGGACAGAAGTATTTTGTTTGGCTTTTTTGTTTGTTTACCCTTTGGTACTTTTGAAGGTACCCTGAGAGGGCAGGGTTAAGATGAGCAGGTCCCAGTTCCCAAGTGTCTAATTTTGTTGGTGTTCAGCAGACTAGCTTTTTAGGTTACAGATTACACTTGTATACAGCACAGTCAGTTCTTGGTCTTCTCTTCCCACTACTGCTTCTGAAGTATTTCAGTGTTTTCCAATACTTGGCTCTTAAAGAAACTTTCCAGAACACATACCTTAGTTCTGTGCAGCATCTGATTACGCGGTATTTAATGCATGATTTGAGAAGCTACAGCCCCCTGGTCTTTCCTTCTGGTTACAATTGAATCGAGTGCTTTGAGGACTTGCTGTTCTGTTGTAGTGGTTTCTGCTGTATATGTATGTATGCTTTTAATATCAAGTCCATTTTATTTGAAGTAGGTACTCCTCTAAAATAAGGAGTAAGTGGCTTTTCACTTGTGTTTTAAATTATGTTTTTAAACAACAGTACTTTACAATATTTTTTTCAGAGGAAGTCTATAGCTGCTTCAGCTTCTTGAGAGATGTTTTTTCTGATGAGTTCATCTTCTTTCCTGGCATTTCATTGAAGGTAAAAGCATCCTTTATACAAAAATACTGATAGTAATACAAGCCAACTAAAATAGTATCAGATTTCAGGGCTCTGCCAAACAAGTGCTTTGTGATAAACACCTTAAGTGATATCAGCTTGATCTGTAAGTGGGAGGGAGGGCTTAAAGGGGAATCTATTGGTTAGTTTTGAAACATTGGCTGAATCCACAAGGTTGCATATACAATCTTCCCATCCTTTCCATTAAAACCCTAAAAATCCTGAAATTGCCCAATTCTGGACTATTAAAATTAACTGTAGCAGAAGTTTGGCTTTTTTCATAAAGCTGCCAGTCTTCCAGCACAAATTTAAAAATACATGAAAAGCAGTCTTTTAAATGAAGTTTAAATACTGTCTTCCTGCTCTGAAGTTATGAAAGAGACCTGAGGCTGTGAAGAAAAAAAGTGTTAATGTAGATGTAAATGAATTCTGTCACAGTGTGGGTGTGCTCTGTCAGTGTAGAAACAAAACAGGAAAACGGGAATTCTCATCGAGGGTACACCAGGATTTTTCCTAAAATCTCTTGCAAACTGCGTAGCAGAGGGGCACTGCTGCTCTTTCAGAAAGTTAAACTGTAGGTATTATACCAGTTAATGATCGACCATTGTGTGCCCTTGTTATCTTTGACAGACACAGTATGCAATTCTAAATTTAAGTACCTATTGTCCTCTGGTTGATTATACTCCTAGTGCAGCTGTGATCAGTTGTTTTGTGTAGCTCCATGTGTGTGGTCTGTGATGGTAGGGTTACCAGAGGACTGTGCCAACACCCAGTGCTCCATCTGTTACAGTATGCCTCCGTACCCACCAATCCTTGACTGCACAGCATGGTGGCATCCACTCTGTGGCTAATGTTCCTCTTAAACCTTGAACTCTGAAGGTTTTGATGTTCCTGTGCATTAGTAAACTTCTTTTTTTTTAAATGTTTTGATGGTTCATGGTGTTGAGCCCTTGTAGCATTTTATTACTGGCATTTACCTTGTGTAGATGCAGATAGTACTTTGCGAGCTCTATGGGGGAAGCGCCCGATTTAAATTTCTGCAGCCACAGAGTTGAGGCGATGCAGCTTGTGAACGTTTTTGAAGTGAGAACTTTCCTAAAGGCATAACCGTGTTCCTTATAAGAGTCTTATGGAAGCTTCAGTTGCGTCTTATTTGCTTGAAAAGATTTTCCCCTCTTTCAACCTCCCCCCAACCCATACAATTATTACTCAGACAAAGCCAGTATTGTTCCTGCATACTGCCTTATTATAGGACACAGTAGGTCTGCCTCTTCTCCTAACACAGCTGGACACAGGCAAGCTGTGGACAGCAGCTTTGCTCTCTGCAGAACTTGCTGTGTTGGTTTGTACACATCCTGCTGGGTTGGAGCTGGCTCTAGTCCAGACAGAGTGAACTGCAGGTGAGCACAAGTTTATCAGTAAAAACCCTGGTTCAGTGTCATACCCAGTATCAACCAGTATGTCCATGTGTAGTTTTTATTTGGATTTAAAACTGATTAAATGTGTTTTTTATCAATGCAAAGGCCAAATATCTGATGGTGGTATTTGTGATATTTCCTGCACTAAGAAAGAGATAAGTATAATTTTCATAGGAGTATTCAAGACTATATTAAAATCTCATAGATTTTTGTTTTATATAGAAGAGAATTGGGCCTTTTTCAAAAGGCTGATTGGCACCATTTAGTTTTCATTGTTAGCAATCGTTGCCTCTTGCAGCTTTTTTTTAAGTATCAAAACCAAGCAGGGAACAGGAATGCAACTGGCTATGATTGACTTTACTAGAGTCAGATGAAAGAGCTGCTATAATGTTAAGGCATCTTGTAGCAATCTGTGCCTCTAGTTGTCCATGTGTCTGTCGTGTCTGTATCCAAACTCCTCGTGTTCTCTGCCATGTCTGTGTCACATCCCCTCGTGTTCTCTGCATGTTTGTCCTGTGACCCGTCCCCCTTATGCCAGTACTGGCAGTAAAATGATTTTGTCATTGACGTTTCTATAATTCTTAACTTTTGGCCATTGTGTTCCCTTTCTTAAAAGAAATATCATTTATTGCAAACAGTGGACATGAGATAAAGGCAAACCTGATTCAAAAAATAAACACCCACAGATAAAAAAAAAAACCCTAAACCAGAGAATCTGACCCTATTCTGACAAAATCCTGTGGGAGTTTAGTCCAGCTGTTAAAATAGAAGCCAGAGGTGCTTTCTCTGCTCCCAGGCTCATTGAGCCTTGAGATAGCGCTGTGTTTAAGAAGACATTCTCACTGACTTTTTGTAAGGGTATTTCTGGTATATAGGAAAATTTTGGTTCAAGTCTCTTGAGAACTGAGTTCAGAAATGGAAGTGGTGTCCTGTTGCGTGTTTTTTGTTGTTTGGTTTCATGGGAAAAGGCAACTGCACTTTTTGTAGGTATTAAAATTTCAGTTATGCTTTTCTTCCCCAGGATTTTGAGGAAGGATGTTTCCTACTTACAAAATGTGATGCCATTCAAACAAATCAACAGGAAATCTACCCTACCAACAAAGGAAGCGTTATAGTATCTTTCTTGTCAACTATGTTCAGACCATTTGTGGAAGGTTATCAGGTATGTTGTTCTTTGGGAAATTATCTTTTTTTTCCTCCTGTGTTTTATAGGGAGACCAGGAGAGCTGTGATACTTCTGGAGTATAAATAGTGCTGTTTTCATGGCTGGGGAGTGTAAGAGGTGCGAAATAGCAGTGATAAATATCTTAAACACCACCCTCTCCCCAGGATCCTGATTTCAGCTTTTGGCTCAGACTTTATCAGTTACAGTAACTGCTCAGTTATGTGCTGGCCCATTGTGGGTTTATAAGCTTCATTGGGAGTGTGCTGCTATCAGGTTCATTGCGCTTTCTTAGGAGGAGCTCTTGCTTAATTAATTTTGTGGGGGCTGTCCTGTCAGGTCCAAAAATGAGTTTGCATTTAATTATTTGATAGCTTTTTTTGGACTCATTAATTGCGTCCATATCTTTTAATTATTTTGGTTTTCCAAGGTTTTAATAAGACTAAACACATTCCTCTAATAAGCAATGCATACAAAAACAGGAGGCTAAAACCTCAGGTGTATCATTATAAGATTGATGGGACTGTAGATGTTTGAACCTAATGGAATCTGTTAATGGTCTGGTATAAGACTTGGGTGGAACTGTACTTATTTACCCAGTTTTTCCCACCTGTAAAACAGGTATTGCTTTAAAAAAAAACCAACACACTGTTTTGATTGTGAGAACAGGAATGGTAAATTAATGTCTAAGGTAACTGTTACAGTAATACTGAACCTTATTTTAATGTTAGGATTCTCACGCTCTGTGTAATGATACCTTTTGAGTTCCTCTCCTACGCTTTTCAAAGTGTGACTATTACTTACCTCTGAGGACACATCTGTGTGTAATTTGTAACAAGCTGATAATCAAAAGGAAAGAAGTGCTAATTTTTTTGTAAAATGTTAGTTAATTTTCAGATACCTCGCAAAGGAAGCAAAAGAAGCCTTTACTGAGAAGCAGTTTATACCTGGAGTCCGCAACTTTGTTTTTCAACTTCTTGAAAAGGGTGTGTACAGCCGTTCTGCAGTACGATTTTACAAGTGTGGTCGGTTAATGGTCAGTGATAAAACTTTTAATTGTGTTTCTGCTTTCTCTGTAGGGAATACACAGTGTTACGAAGCACTGTCTTCTGACATGCAGAAAAATGCCTTAGCAGCTCTTGTGCAACTAGGTGCAGCGAAGAAGAAGAAAATGTAAGTAACATTGTTGGTTTTGGTGTATAAAAGTCACTGTGTGGTCTTGCTGGCAATTCTTAATGACTGAGCTACTAGTGTGAGGTAGAACAGCAGAACCCTGTCTGCCTGAGCACCAGTCAGCTGAAGGTTTACTGGATTTACGTGAGTTGTGGTAAAGACCCCGGTAGTTCCTTTCTGTACGTGTTGTAGAAACAGAATGGTAGCCCCTCATTGTGAAAAGACTCCTGTGGGACCCATCTAACTCACTAGTAGGTTTCATCTGACTCCCTTTACCTTTTGGTTTTCAAAGTTTCTCCCAAGGCTTCAACAAGCAAAGAGAACAGTCCTGGTTATTTTAAATAAAAGAGTTACTCTGTGTTACAATAAGCCTCATCAGACAATATAAGCAATAATCAGGAATGCTACTAATTTTTCGGGGGGTTCAGCACTGACATCTCTAAGCAGTCTGAAAGCTTAGTCATTAAAAAGTCTTTCAACACAGTTCATAGTTTATAGGCCTAAGATTAAAAACCACCTGTTATACAAAAATACGGTGACATGCATTTCGGGTTGTCAAATTAATGTGTGTCATGGAGCTTTTTACTGTATTTAAAAGTATGACCATGAAAGTTCCTGATAAAAGTCCCCATGTTTCTCCATGAAAGTCCCCTGATATAAGTCTTGAGTGTTTCACAGAACAAAGGTGGCAGCTGATGATCCCAAGCTATTTGCTTATGCCTCTATTCAGGAAACGAATTGGTTAAGGTTTGTAGCGCTCTTGAGAAGTACACAAAGTGCTGTTGTTACGTCCCCAGCCATGTGACTGTGCTAAATACATGTCTCTAGCTAAATTCCCGTTTCAAGTAAAAGGAATAATCAAGTGCAATAGAATTTGTCATTAGCTGAAGATTTGGTTCGGTTTCACAGAGAGAGTCTTGAAAATTGTATGATTGAAACCAAACAAAGATTCTCTTCCTGCAGCTGTCCCTAATAAAAATCAAGGGGAGATACAGGTATGGGGACTGTGAGCAAGAGGAAGGGTAAAGAAACTATAACCATCCTTGAGTGCAATCCGCTTAGAAATCTGCCATGTCATGAAAATGAATATGTATGCTGGTAGGATGAAAAATGTGGTGGAATTACAAAAACGTTTAATTCAGATTATTTGCATAGAAAGGACAGGAATAAGAATTGCCAATTAAGGAAACTTTTCCTTTTAACTGTAGGTCCAGTGGATTCACTTACAGTGTAAATCAAGAAGCTGTTAATAAAATCCTGGATATGTTTGGTAAGTGTTCTCTAGTCAATTTGAAGAGAGCTCCTCAAGTTATAAATAAGTTTGGACAATACACATAGATTGGATGTAGTGTTTTGTCCCTAGTAGTTCCTTAGATTTACCTGTATAAAAATCCCAGTGATTTTTTTTGTTACTGTTTTACAATACTCTTTCTGGTGTCATCGACTGCAGCTTTGACTCTTCCTTCTTTATTTGAAACACTGTGCAACCCAGTCACCAAGAAAATAAGGCAAAAAGTAGTTTAATGGGGTAATATTTACACCATTTTGCTGATAAGCGTTAACTCTTTTCATTAGATGCCAGGATACCTGTACAGAAGCCTGTGGCTGCACGACTCTGAGTGGTTCCTGATGCTGTGAGTAGACGGGAGCGCCTGCTGAGAACACAGACCACCTCCTGCTGGAGCAGGGACCAGGGATGGGAGCAGGGAAGCGAGGTTCCCTCCTGCCCTCTGGCCTGCGAGTGTCAGGGGTCCAAAGGTGTTCTTCTGCACCATTACCACTTAGGAAGTGTTGCCACGAGGGTTAGATTGTATTTGTATCCTCACCGTGTTTTGATTTTTAAAACAGATTAAACACCGTTGGTTTCGTTTTTTGTTGGTTTTTTTTTTTTCCCCTTTTGATAAATATTTATCAAGAGATGTGCACAGTAATGGCTACTTCAATACTATTTTCTAGGCTTGTAACAAAGAGTGTGATTGGTTTCAAGTATTTAATGGCTATGGAAATGTAACGGGGAATTAAAAGACTTGCTATTAAAATTAATATTTAGAAAAACACGTTGCTGGCTGGCTAAATGTCATGCGAGGCTCTTACGAACGAAGAGCACAAATCAAACTTGGGCAGTAACCAGAAAGGCTTAATTGGGTTTTGTTGTTTCGGGGTGGTTTGGGTGGGGTTCTGTCGTTCGAGTTTTAGGCAGTCCGGCATTATTTTAATTAGTTCGCGGCTGTTACACGTAAAACCTGACTAAAGCGCTACCGTTACCGGCACTGCCGCCCCTGCTCCCGCCTCGCTGTGGGACACGCCTCAGGGGCCCGCTGCGGGAGGCGCGCTCACGGCCGT